CGGATTCGCGTTCGGATTTTCTCCGATTGATAAAATCAAGGAGGAGGGGGGGAACGGGGATGTTGGGAACGGAGATGTTAATACTTACCCCGCCTCCGTTCCCGTCTCGCTTAATAATATAATTAAAAATTTATTTTTATATATATATAAATCAAAATTATTAATATTTATATGTAAAAATTTATATTAGTTTACTTTTCTTTTATTTTTTTAAAATTTTTCATATTTATTTAAAAGAAAAAAGAAAAAAAAATAGGAGCGGAGGCGGGAGCAGGGCAAGAAAACTCAAACCCCGTCAGGAATTGAAATGGGGACCCAAATTTTATCCTCGATGAGTATCGGAACGGGGGCAAGGACAGTTTAAATTTACGAAGGCGGTCAGGGAACGTAAAACCTGCCCCGCCCTATTGCCATGCCTACTAAATAGCTAGTCATATATTTATCCCGGCAATTATCACGTGAAAATAATGTAAATCATGAAAATTCGTATTTAAAAAAATAATAAAGTGGGGTGACATAAAATTGTCCTTTTTTCTGTCAATTATATTTTTTACCTTAAAGTTTCTGTCTTAGCCGTAAAAATAACTTGTTATACAAGTTGTTATGCAGATATCATTTTCCTATATTTTGTCATCAGTTGAGTGGCTCTTGAGTTTGTTTCAACTACTCTCCAATAATATAAAGATTGTCGGAACATCATATATATATATAAAATTTATTAATAGCGACAATTATTTAATATAATAAGTTAATTACCTTTATTTTATTATTTAATAAAAATATTAATGACTAATATATAATAGCTATTAAAAATGTATTTACATTACACTAAAATTTACTATTAGCGACAATTATTTATTAGAAGAAATTCAAGTCCTACATCAATCAAATATAAGATAATTAAAAAGTATATAAGTAGAGAGGAACTCTCATCTTACAAGTTTCACATCTCTTAGGAGATAAGGTAGTTAAAGAATATATAAATTAGGAATTATTTCTTAAAGAAAAATTTGAGTTTCACATCGAATAAAAATAAGAAAATTTAAAGAATATATAAATAGAGAACAACTTTCATCTTATAAGTCCCACATCAACTTTCATTTCTTAAACTTTTAGTGACAATAGGAAAAAAAATATTAAATGTCATAAAAATTTATACATTTTTCCTGACTATTATAAGTTATTATACGTATATCATTACTTTTATTAATGTATCACCTGTAATACCTTAAATTCTCTAAAATTATTAAAATAATATTTTTCTTAATTAAATGAGTTTTAAAAATATTTTAGAGGTTTTTAATAATTATAAGAAGGTGTATTATATTGAGATTTTTAAATGAAAAGGTTTTGTAGATTTTAATGAATTTTAAAAAGACTATGAGGAGGTATCATGACTTTTACTATTTTTTTAAAAGACTTTTAAAACATAGATTTTAATCAAAACTTTATAATTCAAATTTTAAAGGATTTTGATGAATTTATATTATAAGATTTTAAAGGATTTTATAGATTTCACAAGAAAATATGGATTTGTAAAACACATTTAATGTTATAAGAATTAATAAAAAAATAACAAATAATAAAAAAAGTAAAACAACACAATTTTTTTTTCATCTTTTGACAAATATTTGTCTCTATTTTTTTGGCAAATAATTAATTTTAAAGTTCTCCTAACTAATATTTTTTCACATATCTAAAATTATATTATCCTTCTTGCATTGATATATACTCTTTCATGCTCTTAAATCTGAATAATATATTCAAAATTATGATTTTTATTAACTAATATTTACTTTCATGGTGATTATGATGTACATTTAATTCTTTCTATCTTGAGTGTGTTTATGTGACATTGCAGCTTCCTAGTTGATATCATGGATTATTCAACAAGGAAGCGAACAAGAAAATGCAAAATGGAAGGGCAAGGCACAGCACAAGTACAAGGATTCAAAGTAGAACAAGTATGGCTTCTTTTGGAGGACTTTTTTGGCCTTGAAAAGTGGTTCCCCCATATCCCTACATGCATTCCGGTTGAGGGCATTTCTGGCAAGTCAGGGTGCGTGCGTTTCTGTGCTGGTTTCATAACCCCTTTTGATGACCCTACCAAACAAACTTTAATTGGACCAAGCAGAAACTGCTGTCCATTGACCTTGCTCACTGGACACTTACCTACTCAATTGTGGAGGGAAATGTTAGGGTTCACTCATACCAAAGGAGGACCATGAGGGGTGTGAGATTGAGTGGCTTTATGAAGTTGAACCGATTCAAGGCTGCAAACTGGAATACCTTGATTCCTTCCTAGACAAAGGCTTCCAGGTTTTGGCTCTGAGGACTCAAGCAGCTTTGAAAACCATGGAAGAGGCACTGAGGTCACAAAAGTAATTACAATACTGATATATATATACACCTATCACAAAAAAAAAATATAAGTTTCGTGTCAATCATAGATAAACAGTTAAATAGTATATGAATATATAGTAATTTTTATCTTATAAATTAATTTTGTAATCTTAAATTAAATTTAAATTCATTATTTTAAGATGGTATCGGAATTATCTAATATAAACACTGGGTTCACCCCTTTCTTCTTGTTTGTTCATATTATTTATCGTATGTATATTCTTTTCTGTCTAGTATTCAATGTCTGTTTGGATAAATTTTAATATAATTACTTTTAGAAGAATGAAATAAGAAAAAAAAAAAAAAAAAACAGCACTTGTCGAAACTTATTTCGTTATTTTTCAGGATCTGTTTAGTTTATTGTAAGTGCTTATGATGAGAAGCTTACCCTCCTATGTCATCTTGAGTTATAATTACTTCTATAGTTTTATTAATGTGCTTGAGAATTCCAGTGTATCATTAATCAGTGATTTGTCATTACTTATGTGCACTAGAATATGAAGGTACATTGAGAATTATGCTATTGTATTGTGTTGCAAAAATTAAATAAGAATTTTAAAGTGTGTTTCTGTCCTTAATATTGTATTGTATCATAAATGTTGTGTAAATAAAAAAAATACGAGTCATTTTAACATTTTAATATATATATATATATATATATAATATTAATTATTATTTTTTCATTTATCTTAAATATAAGTGTACATTAACCATAGGTAATACCCATATCTATATGGTTGTACGATATTTTTTTTGGCTAAATATCTATTTTGGTCCCTTATAGTCTTTTTTTGTTTCAATGTAGTCCCGCTTTTATTTTTGGTCTCAATTTGGTCCCAAACTAATTAACTGGTTTCAATTTGGTCCCTAATAAATTAATTGGTTTCAATGTGGGACTTCCGTCCAAATTTCTTTAACGGAGTTAACTATTGGCTACGTGGATGCCACCTAGATGCATAGGTGGATGCCACGTGGATGACACGTGGATGAATTTTTTTTTTAAAACACCTGGAACCAGAACGGGTCGTTCTGGATGTGCTTTTGGTGTGTGTTAATTTTGTATCGGAAACGGGCCGTTCCAAATGCAAAATTTACACACCAAGAGTACACCAGAACGGGCCGTTCTGGTTTTAGAACGGGCCGTTCCAAAACTGAGAATAGAATATTATTTATTAACTTTATTAAAAAATGTAATAATTTTGAAAAATATTTTTTTATGGTAAAAATTTTAAAATTACTTATTTTTATAAAATGCAATTGCCTTATAAATAGAGTAATAACTTTTTCTCTTTCTATCTGAAGAAATATTTAAGTGTCACTTTATAATTTTTTTTAACTTATTTAAAATTAGAGGAATAAAATGATAAAAATTAATAGGATAAACATAATAAAATTATTAATTTATTTTCTTTTAGTGTCCTCTAAATTTTTACATTCATTTAAAATAAAAATATTTTATATGTTAATTTGAATTAATTTAACGAAGTATTATATGATTTTTAATTTTTTAAAATTTTTTATAAATTTGATCTATACATGAAAAACTTTTTAATTTAACAATTAAATTCTTAAAAATTTGATATAGAACAAGGATTGTTAGAACATTAAATGTGAATAATTATTTCTAAAGAAATCGAGAGAAGATTGAGAAATTTAAAAGGAAAAGATACTTGTAGAATAAGTTATACAATAATTTGTATATAGTCATTTTTCTGTATATGTTTTTCTTTATTATTAATAAATATAATAAATGATATAATGAAGAGAAATAAATATAAAAAAAACGTAATGAATGTAAATATAATAAATAATGTGATAAAAATTAATTACAACAAAATTTATTAATAGCGACAATTATTTAATATAATAAGTTAATTACCTTTATTTTATTATTTAATAAAAATATTAATGACTAATATATAATAGCTATTAAAAATGTATTTACATTACACTAAAATTTACTATTAGCGACAATTATTTATTAGAAGTATATAAATTATTGTATCATTATTTATTTTCAATGTAATAAATAACGTTATAAAAAAAGTATAAAAAATAATGTTGTATAAATTATTTATATGAATTATTATACATGTATAATTATTTTCGTTCCAATATACTAAAAAGTTTCACATCATTTAGAAGTCAAAATTAAGGATAGTATATAAATATTTTTCCTCTTTAATTCATTAAGACGTCTTTTTAAGGATAAAATCGTAATAGAGCACTAAAGTAAATAATACCTTGAATGAGATAATCCTAACGATAATAATGAACTTATAGTTGAAACTACATTATTTATAAAAAACACGTACTAAACATATATATATAAATATGAAATGATATGAGATAATGATGATTTATATACTATGTGTATTTATATATATATATATATATATATATATATATATATATATATATATT